AGTGTTTGCGCTCAGTTTCTTTTTCTACTTCGTCGTCGTCTTCGTAAAAGCCTGACACCTTGTTTATTTTGCCTCCTACGGTGCTCTGATGATAAAGCGCCTCTCGGAGGTTGTCAAAGGCAAAACTTTTGGTGGAAGTGTTGGTGCTTTTTTCTAACAGGCCGAAGTTGACGTTTGCTATTGTCTTTTTTGCTTTGATATCCTCTAGATAGTTGTCCGAGATCTCTGTTGCCCACAGATCTTTGGTTATCTTCTTGTAATCCACATTACATGTCCTATAGGGCTGTTTGAAGTAGATTATCTCACACTGATCGGCAAAGTGCTTTAAAAAGGTTCCGTATATTAAGCAATAGGACTTGTTAAAAAACATGGTAGCGTTCTTCGGTTTCACCAGATACAGGGTCAACTCGTGGAGTTCTTGGTAGTCGTGCTTTTTGTAGTCAAAGGGTTTCCAGACATCAAACTGAGTGAAGATTGGGATCTTGGTTATTTTGTTGAATGCGTGGGTGAATGCCTTCCTAATATCAATCTCCACGCAGGACTCCGACATGAAAAAATATTTAACACTTTTGTTTAGTGCCTCGTTATACAAATAGTAGTGTTTATTTATACAACCTACTGGATTTATAGTTCGGCATTCCTTGAAGATGTCGATGTCAACCTCGTTGTAATAAGACCTGTGTGTTGGTTCGAACAACGCCTTGTTAAAGTTATACATTGCCTTAGACATGTTGTTATAAATCTGTTCTGTTCTCACGGAGATGGTTCCGTCAACAGAACCTGCTACCAAATTTTGCGTCTTGATTGTGTATGCTATGGGGCGCTTGTTTATGTTGAACCTGAAACTCAGTTGCGAGACGATGCATCCACTGAATTTGATTTGGGGGTCGTATCCCGCCGACCTGCTCTCATAAAACAACTGTGATAGGTCGTGTCCGTTGTAGATCAACGTATACTGATCGTGCTCTGTGTATTTCTTAATGTCGTTTAAGGAAGTAATCATTTTGCATTCCACTGGTTCAGTCTTCTCGTTGAGGTGGTAATCTGGTGAAGCCTTGACTGTTATATCTCGCGTTTCGTTTTTCGTCAGAATCTGTTGAAGCATCTTAACATTATCGTTGCAGGTATAAATGTGGTTGTTCTTCGTGATCGCATACAATGTCGGAATGTGATGGTTGTATTTCTGGGGTTGGTATTTGAAAATCGGATTGAGAAAAACATCGAAGATTCTGACCTGAATGCCGTAATAATCAAACACTGGGATCATTTCTCTTATTGATGCACCTTGTGTCTTGAATTCGTCCTCTGACTTGTTTATGAGTTTAAGGACCGCTTCCCTAGTGAGTTTGTTCTTCTCCCTCCTTTTGTCTCCCATAAGGGTGTCTTTGTAAAAATCGGTTATGGTGTTCAACCAACACTCGTTTTCGGTGTAATGCTTCACCTTTATTGCTTCCTTGAAGGTTTCGAACTCTGGGTTTAGAGGTGTTTGAATGTATCTGTGATACATGCTGACGTTTGCGGTGTTGGTTAGGTTCTCTCGATCTGGCGCGAAGTTCGAACTGCCATCCACCCTATCCACGTCCATTACCTGCATACAGTCGATATAGTCTTCTACATAATTGAGAGTTTCTTCCATGTCCCGATCGGTTAAAACTGTTTTCATGAGTTTTCTGAATAAGAACCTGTCTTCTTTGTCGAACTTGAAGATTCGTTTTCTAATCAGGTCTTCTACATAACTGGTTGCGCTGACATTAACAGTTTGAGGAACAAACCAAAAGGGAATATAAGAACGTCCCCTGCTATCCTTGAAGGAGGCCTTTATGCTATCTTTGGATGCCTTGACCTTGTAAAACATAATACTCATGGAATAGGATCTTACCTTAGGTTTGCTACTTCTTCCAGTGCGTTTGTTTTCTTCCTTTGCTTCCCGCATCCGTTCCCGTAATGGCGCTTTGTCCTGATGCTTGGTGTAGACTTTGTCGTATTGTTGGTTTACCTTCTTCTTTTCCTTGTCGGTGTTTGCAGTCATGAGTTTTGTTATGAGGTTGTCTGCCGTCGTAAACTGTGCTATTTGTCTGTTCTCATACAGGTCGATTATGTTTCCCACCTTCTCCCTCGTTGATGTGTTGAGGCGGTTTCTCTGGTTTCTAAAGCGGGTCTTTAACGCCTTAAGATTATTCTGAATACTTTTTTTCATAATAATTTAAATTAGATTTTAAATCTTTAAGTGAGTTTTTCCTGAAATTTCTTTTTCCTGAGTATACACTTAAAGAATTATTTTAAATATATAGTATAGTAATAATGGATACAAGAAATGTTTATAAAAATCCCGAAGAAATGTCTTTGGAAGAGATCAAGGAGCAACTCGCTTTGTATAGCAGGCTATACTATCACAAGAGGAAAGACGATCCCAACTATGCCGAGAAGAAGAGGCAATCCTCATTGAACAGTTTCAACAAGAAAAAACTGGAAAAATACCTATCGGAAAACAATGTGGACGTGAATGAGTTGAAGTTGAAGGACCTAGAGGACATGAAAACCGTTAAATCAAAAAAACAATACGAGTGCAAATATAGTATGAAAAACTGCAAGGTTATTCAACGCATGGAAGATTAAAATGATGATTTAATTTTTTAATTAAATCATTATTTTGTTATTTGTTTATATGAGTGAGAAACAGAAGATTATTAATGATGTGTATTTTGACAGAGCGGGATTTGGATCTAGACAGCGCACATTGACAGAAGCCAGACAGAAGGACAAAACTATAACAATGGACGATGTCAACGAGTTTTTTCGGAAGAATGTAGAGCAGAAAAGGAAACCAGTTGGTCAAAACAGTTTTATAGCCCCGCATTCTGCGTATGAATACCAAATGGACTTATTCTTCATCAAGGACATACCGAATCAGAAGTTTAACGTGGGAATGTTAATGATCGATGTTTTTGACAAGTTTATGCACGTGGTGGCAATAAAAGGCAAGAAAGAGGAAGACCTAGCGAGTGGAATGATAGAATGCTTGCACAAGATGGGCAAAAAGCCGAAAATAATTTACACCGACGATGAAGGAGCATTGAACAAGGAGGCGATACAAAAGTATTTAGAAGATGAGAACATTGAACACCACAGAACCAGAGCGCATCCAAATTTCAGCGAGAGGGCCATCCGCACTTTTAAAGATCAGTTGTATAGACGAGTCGAAGCCGATCAGAAAAAGGGCAAAGAAGGAATTCAATGGACAGACTATATCTTTGAAATATTGATTACATATAATAATCAGATGGTTCACTCCGCCACGGGGATGGTGCCAAAAGAAGCCAGAAAAGAGTCTAATGCTTTCAAGGTAAAACTGAACCTCAGCAGTAAGGCACGGCGCAATCGGATTTATCCCGAGGTTGACAAAGGAGATGAAGTTAAGATATTCAGGAAGCGAAAACCCAATGAAAAAGAGCGTGTGGGCAACTGGTCGCAAAATGTTTACACAATCTCTAGAACTGAAGAGAAGCTAGGACAAAAGTATTATTATGTGGAGGGACAAACGCGACCGTATTTGCGCTTTGAACTGTTAAAAGTTTAGGATCATTTTTTCTAGGAAAAAGGCTTTAAAGAAATAACACCTATATATATTAACAGGGAAATGTTCACTCAGAAAGAACAGGAAGAAATCATAAACGATTTTTTGGATGTTATCAAGGTTAGAGATTATATCAGGAAATGTAGGAAAAAGAGGGATACATGTAAATGCAAGGATTGTAAAAAACACCAGCATTATTGCACCTTATACGAATTGCCACTACCAGAAAATGTTATTAATAATATCTATGGCTTTACTTATCGGTGTTGGACATGTGAGAAGACCATAGAAAAAGAGGAAGAATTAGAAGAACGACTTGAAACCAATGATTTATGCTTATATAATGTTGATAAACTCATTTTGAAATTAGATCGTTTGTTTCCGATGTATGATTCAGTCAAACACGTGATTACAAACATAACTATGAAGAGATACAATATGTTTAAGAAATTGTTTAATGAAATGATGTGTTGTAGAGACAAAGAAGAAATAAAAGAATGGATACAATATAAAATGAAATATAATGTTCATGCCACGACATATGATTTCAACAAAATCGTTAGAACACTGTTGAACAAACCCGAGTTTGACTTAATGGATTAAACAAGCATAACATTATTAATATTATAATGTTATGGTTGGCGGTCATTTTAAACCCGAAAAGTTTACTACTCTTGATTTTGAAAATTGTTTTTGAGTGTTTTTTGTTTTCTTGTTTGTTTGTGTATGGAGTTTTCCAATGTTTTTGTTGTGTTTTTGAGGTTTTTGTCATTTTGAAGCCGTTATGTTTCAAAATTTTGGGTTTATTTTTTGTTGGATTTTTGTTTTATGTGTTTGTAAAAAATATTCCTAATAAACCCGACCCTGTAAGGCACTTGTAGTGGTAGTACCGGATCTGCTTGTCGGGCTCAGTCTCGTAGTGAAAGAAGACGTGGAGGTAGTAGCCGATGAAGTCGTGGAACAGGTAGGACTGCGGCTCCTGTAGGTGGGCTTTGTTGGCAACAGAAGTTTAGTCCAGACCAAAGCATGCGGCGAGTTCAGGGCAGATGCGACTTTTGTCTGACTACTGAAGTGCTTGCAGATCGGCCTCTGTGCGAGGTGATTATTTCAACAACGACCTGTATGTCATTATGGCATAACAGTGAAAACTGCGAAGCTCGATGAATCAAAGTGTCGCTTCGCAGAGACTCAAAATCGCCACGTCAAGCACGTGACAGAAACTTAAAGTTGGGACGAAGCTGAATCAAAACTCACTTGCTATGGCCAGATCTCAAACAACAGCAGAACTCGCCACGTATTATAGAGGGAATCTTAAACTATTCTACGGCGACCCCTAAACAGTTCTAGGTGCAACCCCAAACAATTCCAAGGTGAACTCTAAACAGTTCTAGGTGGAACCATAAACAATATACTAAGGAGATGGGCCTTAGAGGCTTGGGTCATCTGCAGTATCCATAGCAGCAGGTGGCAAGGCACTGCTTTGGTGCCGGACTAGTTCAGCAACTCGTCGCTGAACCTCATTCTCAATCTGATGTTCTCGAATTTGCGCATGCAACTCATCATAGCGGTTCTGGATGAGATGCGTCACGCGCCGATGCAAGATGTTGCCACCCTCACTGAACTCCCTGACGTAGGCCTTCTCAAGCAAGAGTGTGATCACGCGCTTGGCTTGCTTGATGTGTTGCTCCTGCGTGTAGATGGCCAAGAAGTCTGAACGCAAGAACGGCCAAATCTTATCAACGATCTTGCCGACATCATTCTGTGAGAGCTCATTCCAAGCAGCATCCAATGCATCGGTCTGCTCAGCCCCGAGTTGCCCTACAAGATTTGTGATGACATTGCCGTTGGTATTCACATCTTGGATGAGTGAACGCAGTGTTGTAGCAAACGGATTGCTTGGGCTAACTGCACTCATGGCAGTGCCAATCACATCCTCCATCTCAGCATGCGTGCGCTTTCTGCCTCCACCGAGTTGACGAGCTGTGATCTCAAAGGTGTCGTCCTTCGTGTAGTCCAAGGCATCCAACTTCACCAACTCGTCCTCAATCACAGCACCGGTGCGTCGAAGATGTATCATGAAATTTGGGCTTTCACTGCGACGATCCCAGTTTCCATGGAAGAATCTGTGCAACCCCGCTTCCTTGAGCCGACGCACACTCCAAGAAGGGGTAGCCGATGCCATCTCAAAGGTGCGCTGCTCCATATTGGCAACGGTCACTCTGAGAAAGCATGGTTTGGTGATTCTGATAATCTCGAAGGTCATCTCAGGAGAGTAGTCGAGATCGATTACGAAGTCTCCCATCTGAATGGGACAGCCGTTCAACTCAACGCGAAACTTGTCGACATCGCCCGCGGAATAAGGAAAGTCGGCCGTCCGAAGAGCTTCTTGCACCACGAGTTCAATGCTCCAGTCCGTCTCGACTCTATTGAGGCGAAGTGGAGGAACTTGAATACACAGGTCCTTGATGATCACAGAGCATCGCAAAGTTTCCTCCAAAACGAAGCAAAACTCATGACCAAAGTCCAAGCGATCAATCGCTTCGGGCAAATACATGTCCTGAGGAAACCCTGAACCTGAGAGGGAATCCTTCAGGTACAAGAAGTCCGGATTGAAAACGTTCTCACCTGCGTTCGGGAGGGAGGCTGCAAGATGTTCACAAGCTTTCTCAGTAATTTCACGAAACGTCCAAGGGCGATGTTCGTAAAAGTTGACCTCGAAGAGCACTGTGTCTCGGTACTTTACTGGAATGACGGGCTTCCGCTTGAAGAACTCGTTTGCAATCTTCGTGATTTTGACATAACTCCCTTCCATCGGTAGATCTGGTTTGACTTCTTCTTCGATGTGGGTGATGAGCTCATACATGACGTGCTGGTCAAAACCTACCAAGTTTCTCATCCCGAGATACATGTCAAGATCAGGTGGAAGATCTGTAAGACGGAAGTGAAGAACGGGGAATAAGCTGGCGAACAGTTTTGGAACGAACTTCTTGACATCATCAAAGCCATCTAACTCATTCCAGTGGGGAAGGTAAGCCGCACGCAAACTGCGCCACATCTCATCGGTCACCTCGATCTCGTCAGGATCCATAACCGCTAAGAGTATGCGCCCATATCTAGGTAGTTCATAGTGCTCACTGAGGAGGGCTTGTACTTGTTCACGAGAAAGAAGCACTGGGAGATAATGGCTAGGGTCATGGTCGATGTGAACAACACCTGATGCTATGATGCGTTCATAAGTTTGGTGTTGAATCTCAAGTTCACGAACTCGCCGTTCAAGAAGAAAAGTAGCGCTGTTCGTGTTGCTGGTCGCCTCCACCACATTCTGATCATGGGCACGACGACGGCAACAGTTTGCATCGATCACATTGGATATTGTGTCAATGAAAGTCTGGAGAGGGTTTACCATTGCGCTACTAATCGAATGAGGCTGAAACTACGGAACTAATGACGACCAAAATGGCGACTCACATACCAAGTTGGACGCTTGCTCAAGTTGGATATTTGCTCAAGGCACTTGCAGGAGGCGCGCTATCTGCTTCAGAAACTGCCGGAATGAAATCACGAATGCGAAGCAGTCTGTCCTGTCATCAGAAGATGGGATCATCGAGAATCTTGATGGTGAAGTCGAAGTGCTCCGAGAAATCGAGCAACCTGTGCCCTTCTTTCAGAATCCTACCTCCTACGTTATCTTACTTACAAATCATTAGAATATGGCCATTTCCATTTAGGTTTATCATAGGGTATTCGGGCTGGATGATGGGGAATATGGATTTTTCAGGGTATGGGTAGAGGTAGGGGGATGTTCTTATGATTGGTTGGGTTTTCATAGGGGGGGGTACACGAATTGTGAAAATTTGGGTGATAATGCGGGGGCTTGACGATACTATAACCTAAATGGAAATGGCCATCGCTAACTAAGGAACCCTAGTTCAACTATTAAGGTGCCTGTAGTACCAAGGGCGCAGCCACCTTCCTCTCGGCGTGGGCGACGTTTTCCGGAAGCATGGCGACCAAGGTGGCGACCTCGAGCGCTTGGGCTTGCCAGGATTAGGAATACAGACTTGTAGTACAGGGGCCTTGTGAATCCTAGTAGTGGGAGTATTATATAATATCTCATATAGTTCACCAGGTGTCAGATTGGTAAACTATTCCTTCTTATTCAAACCAATCCTAGACCCAGCTAACAGCAGTGGAGCGATAATGCTGATGAAGGACTACTGTAGAGACTGTAGAGTAGCTCCTGGCATAACTGATGCCTGAGCTCGGCCACACATCCACGAGAGACTGAGTAGCAAACGACGTCATCCACCCATGCCTGCAACTGAGCACGGGTGTTCAACCAAACGCAGGGCCAGCATGTCTCGGCTTTATGGCGCTTATCACTGTGGCTTGCAATAGATGTGGACGTCCGCTGCGAGCCCCCCAACCCAACGAATTATGCCGGTGAAGCAAACTTGCCGCCGAGGCGTAGCAGAGTCAAGAACGCATGAAAGGATCCGCATAAGAACCCACCCCGAGTTGGAGTTTGCCCCTCCACTCCCTGATGATGCTTATCATTGTTCAATGGCCCTCCATCATGTCGACAAACTGAATACCTGAAAGCATAAACCCTAAACCCCTAAACCATAAACCCTAAACCCCTAAACCCTAAACCCCTAAACCCTAAACCCCTAAACCCTAAACCCTAAACCCTAAACCCTAAACCCTACCATGCCACAACATGTCAGAAGCAAGGGCAAGGCGCAGTCTAATGCATGACCCTTAACTTGGAACAAGGTTTTGGGGGCCTGTTAGACTATAGGGTTTAGGGTTTAGGGTTTAGGGGTTTAGGGTTTAGGGTTTTATACACTACTGAACCCTCAGGAATCGTTTGGGTAACTGTTTCCCTAAATCCTGAAAAAGGTATCTGAGTTGTCCTTTCAGCCAATTGAAAATTATTTATGGTTCTCTACAAAATAGTAGGGGAAATCAAAAAATCCCAAAGGACAACCCAGGTATCGGTAACTAACTATTCCGACCCGTCTGTGACCCCAAGCCAGCCGACTTGTTTCTCCAAGGTCTCAGAGCCTTGTCACTGCCTGGCGAGAAGCTCGAGACGTCCCCGACCGCACTGGGGCCACTGGGGTTTTGGGGGTTCTGGGTTTTAGGGTTGTTAGGGTTTTAGGGTTTAGGGTTGAGTCTTTAGGGTTTAGGGTTTAGGGTTTTAGGCTTTAGGCTCAGGTTTAAAACCCAAACAAAGCCCATCAGCCCTATGATGATATTTTGAAGGCACCGGCATGCACTTTGGCATGCCTTGCAGGAGGCCGAACCGAGTCTCAAGGCCTAAACCCTATCCTGACCAAGCCTACACGTAGAACCTACTACGTTGGGGGTCTAAAGCCCAATATATAAACCCGAAACCCTCCACCGTCCGACATAGGCCTTGAAAACCAATGATCTTGCCTCTCCTCGGAAACATGCGGTAAAAGCCGAAAACCGTTGGAGCATAACCTTTTGGGGATTGAGGACCGCCTACATTTGAAAAGATCTTAATTTTATAAGGCTTGAAGCTACAAAAATCCGGACATCCGGCGTCCATGTATGCTCCAACTGTTCGTAGCTTTTGCCGCAGTCAAGCCTCAACCTTCCTCAGAAGAGACCTCTGTCTCGGAGTCCTTGGTATAAAAGGGCGCGACGAATTGCCAATTTTCAATAGCTACGGTCACCTGCGGTACCACAAAATACCAGTACAGCCTTGCATAAGGCATAAGGCCCTCCCCAAACCTTAAACCCTAAACCCTGAACCCTAAACCCTGAACCCTGAACCCTAAACCCTAAACCCTGAACCCTAAATCATAAACCCTGAACCCACATGTCGACCCCTAACCCCAAGGGTCTAAGTACCCAATAATCATATACTCTCCAAAATCCTAACCTACGTAACTATTATCCCAAAACCGAATACCTAATTATTGGGTCCTTTGGACCCTTGGGGTAACTTCTAGAAACCTAGTATGAGCTAGGGAGGGTCACGCTTAGGTTCGCGGACTACCGTCCCACCATATTCCCCGATAACCATTCTTACCAACATATCCTATACCCACACTACCAAAAGACCTTAACAATCCTCATAACCTATCATAACCAAATACCCTAACCCTCTCTAACCCACAATCCTATAACCACACCACCAAAAAGACCTTAACAATCCTCATAACCTATCATAACCAAATACCCTAAACCATTCTTACCAATACTCCTATCAACCCAAACCCCCTCTGACCAAAACCCCTAACCCCCTAATCTTACCAAAGCCCAACCGTCCACGAACCCCAGCGTGAACCTTATTTAATTTTCATAACTTAAGTATTATGAAAACTAATTTAGATTTCCCAAGCACCTCTCTATATTCAGAATATGCTTCTTTGTTTTCAAATGTTCTGAAAGATGATTTTTCCTAACAGTGCAATTACATACTTCGCAGTATTCATTAAGCAGTCCATATTGTTGTTTTGCTTCCTTGATTTTGTCTTTGTTCCTTTCTCTGTATCTTCTTTGTCCTTCCAAACATTTATTACAATATTTGTTTTCATCCCTGAACTCATTCTTATCTCGCGCAACTTTACATCTGGCGCATCTTTGTTTTTCTTCGTTCATCTCTTAATATTATATGTTCCTCCTCTCTTTAAGCCTCTTTCGTCTAATCCTCTCCGCGAACCTCGGCGTGAACCTTATTTAATTTTCATAATTAAATATTATGAAAACTAATGTGAATACATATTGTAAATATCGCTGTGTTCATCATAAAACTGCTCCATCTGCTCCGCGAGTTTATCACCTTTACGTTCCAAAGAAAATATCCTATCTCTGTTTCTAGACCTTTTCTTCTTCAATATCTTTATTTCGTCAGCAATAGCCGACATTTCCGCATCTATCTCGCATCTCTTACAACCAGCCGTCATCGCAATATTTAAGCAAATGTTTTCAGGTAATTTTTTTGTCGCTTCACACAATACTTTTGAATTATGCTTGCACATAAAACATTCTTCATCGTCTGACATCATTCTCTAATATTATATGCCCCTCCTCTCTTTAAGCCTCTTTCGTCTAATCCTCTAAAAACCTAAAACTAATAATTACGTTTTCCATTCTCTCGTCTAGCTCTCTCAATTTATTTGTTTTATTCATCATTTTCATAATTCTTCTTTCTCTTTCTATTTCTTCCATCTTCTGCTTATGTATTTTGCTATTCAAGTGCCGGCTCAAAAATTCGGTTGCGTGTAAGAGCCTTTTCGGTTGTGTGTAAGAGCCTTTTCGGTTGAACCGCGGAGCCTTTACGGTTGAACCGCGGAGCCTTTACGGTTGTGTGTAATCCCCTTTTCGGTTTATGAACCCCCTTTTTCGGTTTGTGAAACCCCTTTTTCGGTTTGTGAAACCCCTTTTTCGGTTTGTGAAACCCCTTTTTCGGTTTGTGAAACCCCTTTTTCGGTTTGTGAAACCCCTTTTTCGGTTTGTGAAACCCCTTTTTCGGTTTGTGAAACGCCTTTTTCAACTCCTCACCGCCTCACGTCCAAAATAGTTTTTATAGTTATTACTATAAAAATTATTTTCATTCCTCAACCTTACCCGCTGTTATAACCGCCATATTCTCCATACTATATTTTTGATTAGGAAGCATTTTAACCTTTCCCCCTTTGGCTTCCTTAATCCGTTGCTTGCTTAACCTTTTCCTTTCTCTTAATGCCGTTGCGTAATCAGGGTCTTGCATTCTCAGCTTATAATACAACCTCTGATACAGCGCCATTTGCTCCCTGACCTCGTCCAGTGTTAAATCCTCGGGCTTCTTCATTGCAGTCATTTTATGCTTACTATATATAGGCGTTTTGTCTTTAAGGCGTTTAACAAAGACCAGCAAACCAAAAATCAAAACAGGGGAATAAGGAGAAACCATTTAAAGAAATAATAACAATATATTTTAATCTAGATTATCATATGACTAGAAAGGCTATCCGTGACAATATTAAACACCTAAATAACAAGAGACAACGATTAATAGAAACAAAAGCACCTAAAAACGTTATTACCAAAGTTAATCAAATTGTTGATTTATATGAGAACCGCCAACTTTCAATTTTCAAAACCGCCGAAAAACTCATCAACGATATGACAACGGGAACTCAAAAAGAAAAAACAAGAGGCATTAAAAAAGCTGAAAAAGCCATAGAAAAGTTTGAAGCAAAAGCCCCGTTATCGGAACGAATGGAAGAAACAGCCAAAACGGCTAGGAAAGGCAAAAAAAGAAAGCAGGTTTTGACCAAATTTGTATCCAAAACAAAGGAGCTTTTCAAAAATCGCAAAACGTATTCCATTAAATATATGCTTCTTTCAACGCAGAACCGCTCGGGAAAAAAACGAGCTTTTGAAGTC